ATTCTTCTTTTCTTAAAACTGCCATAACTTCTTTATCATATTAAATATTTAAATAACAATTAAATATTTAGTTTATTCTTGAATAATGTTACTTTGATAATATAGTTGAAAATAATTCATGTTGTTTATGTTTTAAAAACAAATTATTTTTTAATTACATTTGTACTTTTATTTTTTTGTTTTATGTACACAAAATAGTATTTTTACATTAAAGATCAGTAAAACAAAAATCAAAATTCATTATAATTTTTTTAGTAAATCCTAAAGAGAAAAACTTAACGCTACAGATTGACACTTGGTGCTTGAATAACTTAATTTACTTGTTAGAAAAATAATTACAAACAAATAATATAAATAATACAAATAAACAAATAATTATTAAAAAATTGATTTAAAATATATTATTCAAAAAAGCACTTTTTATACGAAGGTTTCCTTTTTCCGAAATATTGAACTTTTATCATAAATTTACTGTAAATTGTAATTATAAAATTTCCCGACTGTGTATTAAAATTAAATAAACCATTATTTTTATTCTCATAAAATTTTTTATTTAAAAATGTCATTTTCAAACTTAAAAATTTGAAAAACTTTCAAACAATTAAAACAATTTTTTTTATAAATACTTTACATTTGCCTTTTTTATTTGACAAGTTTTTTTTTAAACTGGATCATTTCCCTGTATGCAAGTGGGTTAAAAATTTAAATACAGGTATAGAAAATAGAACTTTTTCAACATCACTTTTTAAAATGTTCCGGAAGTATTGTCACTTTTATATATATTTTTAATAATGATTATGTTAAAAACATTAATTTGACCTCTGGACTTGTCTTTGTGGTCAAAACGAACTTTAAAGTTAAAGAAAAAAGTACGATTTTTGTGTGAAAATTGGAAAATTCAGAATATTTTCATAAACAGTTGCACAAAAGCTTTTTTGAAAGTATTTATAAGAAATTAGTGACGCCTCCATTTTATTATTCGATACTATTTATTTTGACTTAAACTTATACAACTTTAAAAAGATTTTTTTAATTTAAAGTATCTTACTGGGAGAATACACTGATTTTCATAAAAATTATATTAATTTTAACTTACATTGAGTATAAAGTTATAATCTGACTGTAAAATTGACGTTGTCTTAACAAATCTTGTATTATATCCTCCAGCTGAGTCAAAAATGATGAGTGAAGATGAGAAGGTTATCGCAAATGCATTCGGCGATAAAGAAAATCAATGTATGTATGAATTATAAATCTTAAATTTTATTTTTGTTAATCGCCAGTGATTAGTTTAAGTTGCCTTTTCTGTCACAGATAAAATTATTTATATTTATAAAAACAAATATTAATAAAATTGATTAACAATGTTTACAATGTATATATTGTAAATTGTAGAGACTTCATTAAAATAATTATGTAATTTTTATTTTAAATCAAAGATTTTATTGAGTTAACAATATCGCTGGGAAATAAATATAAATTATTTTACAATCTGGCCATTAATTTTATTTTACTACAGTGCCGTAAAAAATGGTTGTGCAAAATATATCAACTCTGAGTCTACATATTTTTAAAGGGAGGTACATAATTTTTTAAATTATTATAAGGAGAAAAGAGGTGTAATATTCATACACGTACTCCTAGCTTAGTAGTTGCGGCACGGCTCAATTGTTATTAAAAATGAAAAAAACGTGTGTGTTAATTTTTTAAAATAAATTTTACAAATTTATCGATCATATAATTTGTTATACTTGTTTATAAATAATATGTTGGTCTAGGCTACACCTAAACATGCGTTAAATACAAAAAAATTACACCAGTATACTCGCTGAAATTTCATAGAATTATTTTTTAAGGCTATTGTGTCGATACAAAAAATTTTATCAAAGGTTAAAATTACAACAAACATTGCAAAATTTAATCTACTTTTAATGAATAAATTGAATTAATTATTATATACTTTTTATTGCGATGTTAGTACACTGATTTATTGTCTCTGCATTGTTATATCATAATATTATGGTACAAGTTGTACTAACTTTGTAATTGTACTAATTACAAAGTCGTATGGCTTTCTTAAACTAATAGTATCGTTTTTATCATTCATTATTTTTTTCATCGAGAATAGATCTAAATTTAAATTTAACCAATTATAATTTGTTTATTAACTATCAATAATTAAGATTAGAAAAATAATTTATAATCATCAGAAAGTCATAATTGAATCGCTTTTTATAAGCCAACATGATCCTTAAAAAATAATTTATATTATCAAACCTATTAATAATACAATGTTTATACTATTGACCCATGTGCAAAAGGAATGATTTCAATATAACATATGTACCATTATTTGGTTTATGTCTTAAACTATCAAATGTACATACGAATAGTTCGGTACAATTTACGATGTGATACATGTATAAATGTATAATAATGTAAAATTTTTTACAATTTAACAAGTTTCATTTTTTTTTAATCCCCTATAATAATGGAAAATTTAAATTTTACTGTTTATATTTAATTAATGGACTCTTAAAAAATTTGTAGCACCACATTTTTACAAACATGTAGAAGTTTTTTAAGTGTACGATGTATGAGAAATTTTTTACACTCTAAAATTTCAAATTTTCGATTACCAGGGTGCCAACAATATTTATCTTGTGATTTTCTTTTTGATGGTATCTTGTCTCAGATGCAAGCCGGCCATAATATCCGCCCCGTCCATCATTGGATTAATCAAGAACTAAAACTCCCTAACACATGAAAGAGGGTCATCACTCTATATCATGATAAGTTCGGGAAATAGAAGAAATTAAAACTGATCATTTTATTTTATATATACATATACACTGTTCTACAAGAAATTTTCAAGAAATACACTTTTTTAACCCATTTTCTGCCGGATTTAAATTTGCAATTCAAATTTTTTCTATCACGTCTTTTTTGAAATGATTACTAATTAGTAAAAAACGAGTATTTACAAATAAAAGCAATTATTCAAAACAAAAAAAAAAATCATTTGTTTTTAAATTATTATTGATTTTGATTTTTAATATGTTAAAAATATTCCGTGCAAAATGTAATTTTTAACTTAATTTTTTGGGCCTTTAAATTTGATTTTTATGGAATTTTATAATAAAATAAGGTTGAATTTTTTACCGTAACTTTTATGAAAAAAGAATAAAAATAATAGGTTTGTTAATATTAATAAACAGTCAGAAATTTTTATAATTACTATTTATAGTAAATTTGCAAAAAAATCAATTCGACGTAGGGAGTTAGAACCTCGTACCCCGTTCGTGTAACAGATGCGACCGTACATTTTTTGTCGATAAAAACGACCATTTTCAAAGTTTCAAAGTTGTATATTCTCGATTTTAAAGAAGTAACAAAAATTAAACAAGTTCAATTTTATATTCAATGATAGTTAAATATAATATAATATAATTTTTATGAAAATCAATGTACTCCTCTTGTAATGTACTTTAAAATAAAAAAATAAGGGAATAATTCTCTTTCAGCTCTTAATACGCCCATAGAGAATTCACAAATTTCTTATAAACACTTTCAAATGAGCTTTTGTACAACTGTTTGTTAAAATATTCTGAATTTTCCAATTTTTACACAAAATCATATTTTTTTCTTTAACTTTAAAGTTCGTTTAGACCACAAAGACAAGTCCACTGATCAAATTAATGTTTATAACATAATAATTAATTAAAGATATATATATAAAAGTGACAATACTTTCGGAACATTTTAAAAAGTGATATTGAAAAAGTTCTATTTTCAATTTTTACAATTGTAATTTCCCCCACTTACGGGAAACGTGGAACATTTTTTACAATTTTTGAAGGTAATGTCTAAAACTTGATAATATTTTACATGTCATTAAATAATATCGGTTTTGTGAGAGCTGAAAGAAAGTAGTAACATGCACACCCAAAAAAAAAAATAATCATAATAAAATTAATACCTTCTCAGCTGCGCATCGAAACTGAGAATTGTAACATAATTCAGTTGTTACAAAATGTTGAATAATTTCTTATACCAGAAATTTATGTTCTATTTTTTAAAATAATATATTCAATTTACAATAAAACTAAGAAATCGAAATGTATTGAAACCCAAATGAATAAACTTTGTAATTGTCATATCATTGAATAAATCACATTAAATTATTTTAAAAAGTCGATAAATATTTTATTGTGATCAGAACCGGCACAAGAGTGGGTCTTGTGGGCACTTGTTCAGGGATTCTTGATTTATAACAATAAAGCTCCCCCCGCACATAACAATAGCGTAGTTGAGTTTTTGATTTTTGGGGAATAGTTTTATGAACATTTTTATTACTCCTTTCAAATGAAAAAAATATATATTTACCATGTAATCATTTTTATTGGAGAGATCTGTTCTACTTTAACTGCCTATCTTCACAAGGCCTCCAAAATTATAATTAGCCTTGGGTCCTGCAAAACCTAGCGCCAAAACTGATTTGTTTACAATTAAAATTAAACTGATAAAATTTTGTTCAGATTCTAGATTTGATAGAATAATTTAAATTTGTTTTAAGATTGTTTGTTAATTACTGCAGTGATACTGTACATGTAGTTTTTAAAAAAGTTAGGACATGATCTAACGGTTACTTTTACTATGTTTGAAACTCACAGTGAACTTGCATTTAATAAAATAACTAAAATGCAATTTCATAAGATTATCATGGTATGGCTAATTGTAAATATTTCTTCGCGTGCTTCAAACTGATATAACATTACTAAGAATTAATTTTAATTCATATAATTAGACTTTACAACAAGTTATGAAATAAATGTTTACACATGCATTGTAAAAAGTACTCACGTGTGAAAATTTGAAGAATATTCTAGTATATGCATTTTTGTTGTTTTTCTTAATCAATGGCAATTTCTAATGAACAATTGTACCTTATAATCGATGTTTAATGTATAAAACGTCATACATTTTAAGATAACCCTTCGGTGATAAAAAATAATGTATAAATATCATTACTAGAACTTCTGTAGCTACAGTAAATTTGAATCGCGCACAAGATGAAGCTGTCAGTAGGTTTGATCTTGGCGGTTTGCCTTTCTTCGTCACTAGCTCACGGTAACTTAAAAAATTGTCGAATGAATAACTCACAGCTTAAATTTTGTTGATTTTTTTAGTTTTTACAGACATTCCAGTAAGCTGGTCTGTAGATACTGACACATTACCAGAAGTTTTACCAAGACACTTAAAAGATTTCTCTAACTCAGAAATCGAAAGAGTTGTGTTTTCCAGTTATGAAAATCTATTGAAAGTTACAAGTGAGTTCAATGGAAACTCTTACAACACCACAGTTCCATTCGCATATGTTATGAATGAATTTGGTGTTCCGAGATGGCGTTCTGTTATCCCTGAATCCACTATGGAATTTACAAACAGTGTAGTTAGAGGATTAAAAAATTGTTATAAATGTCATACCACTTTTGAATGGCTCCACGACGAGGTAAATATCTATGAAATGTATAATTTTGTTTAAGATTTACTAAAAAGTCTGCGTTTTTTTAGGTTAACCACATAATGGAATGGAGTGATGTACACGTTAAGGGAAACTACTTTTTTGTTAACTCAACCTTTTTTGACCAAGGAAAATATCATATTCAGTTTGAAAAATTAAGATATAATGTTAACACTTCATTGATCAATCACACCGCATTTTACTCAACAACCCATTTCCCAAAAAGTGGTTTGACATACAGTAACATTAAAGCATCTTTTTCAGGACAAATTTGGGATTTAATGAGCGTAAATGATAATACTTACCATACCGAAAGCGTCAGGTATTTTGTTTTCCACTAATTCAATTTTAAATAACATACTTTTTAAAATTATTATTGTTTTTTAATTATATTATTATTATAATATTTGGTAGAGTAAACTCTTTTCAAATTCGAATTAATACTGAGTACAAATGTTTTCATTATTATTATTTTTTCAGAACTTTTATTGACGACATATTGCTCGAACACATTGTTCAACGTGTAGGAACGTCAATGCAAAATAACATCACCGCTGCAATTTACCAAGTTTCCCGACCATACAGCTTATACAATCATATTGCCGGATCTAACTTTTATACGAATTTCGAAGGTAAACTCCCATCTGACGTCTCATACAAAGTTACCAAAGTAACTACCGACAAATTCAGTCGCGTTTTCAAGCGACTTGACAAAATTACCGTCAACATGGAGAAAAATCAAGTAATCGCTCAATTACACTTTGTCATCCACAAGTTGGTTGGACATTTCGATATGCTTGTAGAAGAAGTCAAACCATACAGTGGAAAAGTTAATTTCGCCATTGAACGTTTAGACTTCATGACCGAATTCAACTTGCTTAACGGAGATGAATGCACGACAGTCGTTACTCCAACTAAACCTGTAATCACTACTCCTGAAATAAGTTTATCTGAAGATGCTATAGAAATTTTGTCAGATAGCTTAGCTCGTATGTTGAATACCCAATTCGCAAAACCGACTAATACCATTTGTAATGCTTTACGCGAAATGCACAGTCAAAGTCATCATCAAAAAACAAACTTGTAAACCACAAGTGATAATATTTAAAAAATCACACTATGTTTCAATTAAGATTATACATTTCCTACAGAATTTTTTTTCCAATTAATATAAGTGTGCACGTTTTTATACGAAAAACATAAAAATAACATACAGTTATCTCATTAAAAGTTAACTTTTTATACTCAAAAAAAATTGTTGTTTTTTTTTATTATAGTAATAATATTTTGTGAATAATAAAATCCCAAAATAACGATTTAACTATATTATTACACTCATGAAAATAAATTATTAAGAACAGCAAGTATTTAAGCATTTTAATTATCAGTAGTTATGTGATTTTGATAACACGCACAAAAGTCATAACCATGGCAATTAAGTTTATATACTTTATTGTCATTAAATTATCATTGAATTTGCGTTTATTTTTATTTTATTTATGCAATCTCATTAAAAATATTTAATTATAAAACAGTTGCTTATCAGTAACATTATAATAAGTAGAGCGTTAGATATAAATTCAGTGTCTTGAAAAAAAGTAATAAACTTTTTATATTTTTTTAGTTTTTGTTCAGAACACTATTCATAAAAATAATTGAAGACATAAAGATAATCACAATTTGACAAAATTTGCTAACATTTTTTTTTTAAATAATTAACCGGTATTAAATAACAACATAGCAGTTTTTAGTTTAAATTTAAAATAAAAATTTAATTCCTTATAATTAAATTTGTACTTCTTATAACTGTTATTGTAACCAGTATTTTATTATTTTTATAAACTCAATTATATATTTTTTAATATACAAAAGACTTACTAAAAAATTGCTAAATTATTATTATACAGAACGAGGCAATTATCCTTTGCTATTATAAGGTTCATAAGGATTCTTCTTTTTTTCCTATACTTTTTCGTAATTTTAACTAATACTTTGAACTTTATTAAGCGTTAAAAAATACATGTTGTCTTAATTTACGTTTTATACTTGGAGGTTTCTTCGACATTTTTTTATTATGTCCTTATTTTGTACAAATCCAAATATTTCTATAAATATAGTTGAAATATTTATAACAGCAACGCTTTATCCACAACTTAAGTTAAGTTAATACGCTATTTTAAGTCAGAGCCGCATCTAAGAGGTACTAGGTGCACGTGCCCCGTGCGGCAAGTTTTAAAAAGAGCTCTAAAATATGAAGCATTATAAATTATTGAGTCGAAGACCATTTTCTTATTTTTTTTGCTAATTGAAAAAAATAAAATACATTTATCTTAATTAGTTTTGAAAATGTAAGTCAATTTATAATAGTACTTGTTCTTCTCTACATATAATATAAAAATGAGTTTTTAAAATGGTTCTTTTCAGTATAACACTTTTAAAATATTCAAATTTTTGTTAATAAATAAAATAAAATAATTAATTTCACAATCGAATAATGTCATGCATAAGTCAAGCCATGACAACCAATGTTCAAATAAAGTGAGAGAAGGACTTGGATAAAATGGTGTGGTGATGGTTATGTTCACCGGCTCATGGCTTCTATTGCCGCAATAATAGGCTTCAGTAAAAAGTAAACCGGCATAGCGTATCAATGTTTTTTTATTATATGTAAACTCTGTAACACGTGCTATATTATTATTTGTGTAATAAATATTTTTGTTTTTAATGGTTAAATTGGTTAAAGATGAATAAATTAACAGCAAATATTTATTTAATGGTGATTTTTGTTTTTTATGTACAATTTATCTCGACATTTGCTGCAAATAGAAAATCACAGGGTAAGTTATTAATATTTGTTATATATTTTTTTACTGTATTATGATGGTTTTTATTAGAAAACTTTTATCTTATGAAAATATTCTATTGTAATTTTTATCCAAACTTCAAAAATTTAATATTAATTTTAAATATTAAATAAGTTTTATAATCTATGATATTTACAAATCACTATGAAAAATTTGATAAAATTATAGTATCACAGTTTCATTTTCAAATTACTTTTCTCTTATATCCTTAAAATTAATGTAAATTATGAATGTATCTAATACTTTTTTTCATGTAATTGGGAGGGGATCTTGTTGCTACAACCTGTTGATTTCACTTTTAAACTTTTTCCAGAAGAAACATAAAACCAATTTATTTTAAGTTTTAACACAACAAAAATGAATTTGTCTAATAAAAGACCTATTATTACAAATAGTTTCTACTTTATTATATTATATTTAGATTAATTATTTTGAAAAAATGTAATTATCAAATTATTTGAACAAGTCTCTCAATTCTTATTAAGTTTCAATTATAATGATTTTTGTTCTGTACATAAAATATTAAATAAAAGATTTTATTACTCAATATACAACGAATTCAATTGACTATATATTCAAAAACTATTCAATTCTCTAAAGAATTTATATCTTAGAAGGCAAGATTTATGAATGGGTGGAATATCACCCATGACAACTGATTAAACTTTTATAGTCGTATATTTATCAGTTTGTATTCCAGTTAGAAAATTTGCAAAAGTTATAAAACTTGTCTTTTTTTTGGCTTATAAAAATTATGTGACAAGCAATCAGTGAGAAAATTTATACCAACACCTCTCTCGAAAAAAATACATATTTAGGCTGTGTGCACAAAACTACTATTTAGTAAATCTTAGTTTGGGATAAAGACTATTTAATACTTCTCTAAGTTATTAGTCACAATCTTTAAGTAAATTTATTAATTTTCACAATAAAATTGCTTTATTGTATTATTTTCAACAAATACCATTTTGGTGTGATTATGTCTATCAAATAATCTCTCGAAACTTCCTCAGTAATAAAAACTACATGATCTAAGTAAACAATATTTTATTTAACTTTCTATTAGGAACATATATGATCGGTATAATAAAACCTGATCCTCGATATCATTATTGGTGTCTTCGATACAAACCGGTCATCGCGTAACTGTTCAATTTTTTAAACACATCTTTTCAAAAACAAATGACCATTGTTAACTTAATGTAACTTATTATTTATTCATATGTGGTATAGTATTTTACATAGTAGCGAGCACAATGAAACAGTCTTAGACTGTTTGCCGTAAATCATTTGCATTACAATAATTAAACTTGGCTACCATAAATATACGTTAAAATTTTGTGGTTTAATGAACCATTACTCGTTTGAGTGTGGTGTGGTTTCCGGAACTGGACACATTACGCAAGTGACCAGTTGACGGTGAAAGCTGAGTGCATCTGCTTTAACCCGTACTTGAATAACTTGTCGAACTGTTTGTTTCAAAAAAGTGTAATGATAGTAAACATCATTAGATGCTGTACGAAGAGAAAGGTTGAGGTAGACTGTTGCTCAGTTCAAGAGTATTTTTGTTCATGTAACGGTTATAGACTTGCTAATCGTGTGTATTGATGGAATATTCGATACAGTGAAAGTGATGTTGTCAAGGTTACGGTTAGTCCACCATGGTCAAAGGTCGATGAAAGTATAGATATGTTACAAAGTTTGTTTGCAGATTTTATTAAAAAATCATTCAACATTCGCAATAGCAATGAAATATCTCAACAATTGTTTGAAACAAATCACATGAGTGATTTTTTAAGAACAAGTATATATATTTCTTATGATCACGTTGAATTATTTAAAATGTTACTTTTTATGAATTATATTTATACGTTGACAATAAAAATTATAATGACTACAAATGTGATATTTGATGTCTTCGACTTTGATGCACGCATAACATTTAATTTGGCCTTTTACCAATTATTTTTCTAATGTTTATAATTATTGTTTAATCCTTGTAGAAATTATTATTAGTGCTTTTTGTTTATTTATCTGTAGGTAATAAATCTTCTACCGAGGAATTTTTAATCAATGGTAACGTTATGACAATTGAATGTATAGCAATTGCAATAGAATAGAAGTTCGATTTCTCTTCAAACGAACAAATATCAAAGCATTACGTTATTTGATTTTTATTTATGAATCGATAATCACGAGCCGATTAAATATATAAAGAAAGTTGATATAATAGTAATATATGCGTCAACAGTTAAAAATGTATACTTTTAAAGCAAATAAAAAATATAACAAATAAAAATATGATAAATTTTTATCAAAATCAGTAGGTTTTAATCAAAGATATTTACGCTAGTTTTAAAAAATGTTGCCTTGTGCTATTTAATTTTAATAATCAGAACAAATCATATAATTAAAATAAGAAAACCTACGTCCTCGAACTCTCTCATTCATAAATTTTACGTAGAGATTTTATGTTGCTTATAATTTCAAAATATAAACATCATTTTATTGTTATACCAAAAAGTAGACAAATTACAAAGGAATGGCCTCGATTTAAATGTCATCGTCACATTAATTTCCAAGGATTGCGCATCGTGTACATAATACAAGCACTAAAATAATATATTTTTAAAAAGACTTAAATTATAATTTAATATAATATTAGTATCAATGGTCAAATGACGTATATTAAAAAAATATTTTGCTATTTTTTCTTATTAACTCAATGTTACGTTTACATAAATCTGCAAATCATACGTAAACATGTTTAGAGATTTATATAAGATATGTCTTATATATAAGACATATCGACTTTTAGTAGGCTAATTAGAATAAAATTTATTCTAATTAGCCATTTAATGACATTTTCATCAACAAATTTGTTTTACCAAAACCGCGAAAGTTACTTTTGACAGATACTTGAAATCAACCGAACATGAATATTTTTGGTAAAATGTCGTTTACCTCGCCAATTAGGCTGCAAACAGTTTTATGATGTTTTTAAATCTCTTCTATATATATACAAGCGAAATATTCATTAATTTTAGTATGTAAACAAAGTATTATGAATGAATAGATTAATTTTAGTGTTGTGTTTATATATGTTTAATATACTGGACATTATTTTTATTAATCTTTGCATCACCTTACGCTTGACTCATAGTAATGCTGATTAATAATTATAGAAACTAGTTATCTTTGCTACCGTTTTGTATAGTAAAACTATATGATGTAACTCAGAGGATTATTGGTTTAATTTGAAATTGTTGCCAAATAGCAGCGGTCTAGGTTTGTTCATACAAATACCTGTATACTGACTGCACATCGATTGGTATAGTGTACACGCAGAACATAATAAAAAACGTTTCAGCTATACTACACAAAATGTCACGGGTGTTAAACACCAGTAAACACAATTTCGTTTAACAGCCTAGGTTATTAGGGCAATTGTCACAGTTTATTAACATGTATTGCTTTTTAATGTTCTAACGTCGTTTTTATAAATATGAGAATTTCATAACCGTCAATGGCCATTCAACCCCACAAATCGTTTGACTAGCATTACAATAAAGGACGATGAAATGTTTTCGAAACGACTAAGTTATAAATATAAAAAAATGTTTATGTTTAACACGCCAATAATGAATAACCTAGTAATCACTTAGAGACACCATCTTGTAATAGTTATAAGTCATAATTATTGTATAATTACTCTCAATTTTAACAATAAAAGGTCTAGCTACCGAATTACTTTAATAATTTTTAAAAAATAAAATATGATCTTCAACGTGAACATAATGAGTATTTTTTAATATTTTGCAAATAATCTGAATTCATGATTGACGAAAGTGAATTAGAGTTCTCTAGAAATAGTGTGTTTAAACTAATAAGAAATGAGATACACATTGGGCTTCTGAGGAATGTATTATCTTTGTATAATGCTTAGGTGTTGTTTACGTATCAAAAAGAAAGTTTCGTTCGATATATTTTTAACATGTACAATTTATTAGTTTAAGCGTTCACAATTCCATTGTAATAAGTGCATAATTCATTAATTTTTTAAACATTTTTAAACATCACAAGACATTTGACTTTTTGTGTTAACTATATAATAGGCACATTTATTGATACATTTATAATTTTTTACAGTCTATTCGTTAATATCTCATGCAAACACAGTAATTTTAATAATACATTTGTTACAAAACGTTTTCACAGAAAATTTAGATCGAAATGTTAAGTTTTTTTTTGGCGCTATAACAATAAATTACAAAATGCACGGCGTGCTGTTTCATTGTTATGATGTATTATTACTACAACTACGTATATTTACCGGATCAAAGCCCAATACAGTTGCTCAATAATAGTAACTATACTCTAGTTATGAACAATAATAATAACTTAATGCTATAATATCATATAGAAAAAATTACGGCGCGTGTGTTTAATGTTTAATTTCAAATAAATACTAACAATGTATCTATTGAATACAATAAAAACCGTGTATGAACGTTCCATTTCAAACATACAGAGCTTAAGAATTTTGTTAGCTAATTTACTATATTATAAAAGCTATTATCGTTAGAGTTAAATAATAATTTCAATTTTTTAGTTAAGGTTTAATTATAACATATTTCTTAAATTGTTATTAGAAGTATTGTTATAAAAATATGATTATAAGATTAATGTTTATTGCCATTTAACAATGTTTATATTATGGTTTACAAAGAAAAACTAACATCATCAGTACATATAGGAAATTAATAGTTAGTATATGTATAAAATATTCCTAGAATAAAACCAACTAATTTTATGTTAATTTAGGACAAGGATAAGAACAATAGAAATTATTACTACGAATTAATTTGCTTTGATTAGGATTGAATATTTTGACTTAAGAACTCGCTGTGGTGTGTATGATTTATATAAGGATATTAATACGACCTCGACTATAAGATTATTAAAAAATGAGGTCGGAAAATTAGAAAATTATGATGAACATAACTCGTCGTGTTTATTTCCAATTACAACTATTCAGTAGGTCTTGAATACATATATTTTAATACAGTCATAACTATTAATTTTGAAGTATATATATAAGTTTTCTTTAAGAAATACATGATAATTATCTGATAAATCAAGTTATGATCTTTAAATTATATTGTTTATTAACAATGAGTTATTATAAATTTTAACCCCCCCCAGGATTGTTAATTATTTGTTCATTCGCTGTAGTTAATCTTCCTTATACGAATAAAAACTCAAATGTATACAGTACTCAATAACTACTGAGAATTTTTTTTTTATACACAACAACTATTCAACTCGTGTAATTATATATATTCAAGTATACTGAGTATAATTTGTTAATAAGATATTTATTTTACTCTCTCTTTCATTCGAATAAATATCTCAATAATCATCTTGATAATTATTTGTTAAATTATTTGATTAAAGAGTAGATAATATATCGAAAGTATAATAAAAAAATGCAAAATATTGAAATTAAATTCTTTTAGATTAGTACACTTGAAACAATTACACATAATAATTGTATAAATAAAGTTGTTGTTAAAAAACAAACTATAAAAAGATATATTATTGTTAATATTATCAAGTAACCAAAGATATAAATGTTCCAAGAACTACTTGCATAATACTACGATTTGCTGTACCATGTGTTAATTTTTTTATTTATGTTTTTTGTGTCTGTCACTACTTTTTCTCAGCTCTCACTGAACCGATTTTTTTCAACGATACGTCAAAAGATCACAAATCATTTCTAGTTGTAGACATTACTTTTAAAAATTGAAAATTTTCCCCTCATTTCCCGTAAATGTTTAGAATTCTCGAACAAATTACGACTTTTTAAAATCGGTAGATTTTGATATTTTTTAAACTTTCTTCTCTTAAAACTGTCATAACTTTTTTAAAAATGAACGAATCAAAACAATTTTTTAAAAAAAAAGATTTAAGTGTTAGTGTTAAATATTTTTTAACTTTTAATAATAAAAAAAATTATCTTACTAAAAATATGACTACTAAAAATAATTATTTTATCTATTGAGCATACATTGCCGAATACATTAGATACTAACGAACTTATAAACAACTTGAGAGAACAAAAAGCTAGACAAACTATAATTTATCACTTTTTATAAATAATATATACTTTTATATTACCCGTTAAAGTTATAAATAGCTATTTAAGTTACTAATTATTTAATTAATTTTTATAAAGAAATATTGCATTATAATTAAATACCACGAAATGCCAATGTATAATGTAACATTATAAAACTGAAACTTATAAACAATGGTAAAATATAAATAATTTATTAATTACTTAGCTTGGCGATAAAGAAAATATCGTTCCATAAAGACTGTTTTCAAACTATTTTTCTCTTTTTATCACATTTACAAATTCAAGATGTATAAATTATCAATGCATGTTTGTTCCTAAAAACAATTTTAAAAAATCAGGCATATAAGCAATATTTTTATTTTATATATGAAAAAATAAATTACTTTAAAACCCATAAATTTTCACTTTGCACATATGCGTAAAATTATGAAAAAATATGATGGGAGCTAAAATAATTTTCCTCCTCCGATTTACATCTGTAACTTTTCGATGAAACTAAGAGGCACATTTTTAAATTTCACCATCAGCGTGATGTATAGTTGTTATAGCACTGCTCAGGAATTTGCATATAATTTTTCAAATCCTTTTACAATTAGACTATTTTAAGTTACTGTTATATTTAAAATTTCATAAACTAAAAGTGACATTATTTATAAGTGAGCTATACCTATAATTATTTATGCAACTAAAAATAACAGTTTATACTCAACAATATTATATATTTTTCAAAATGAGAAATAAGTCTTGTTCTGTTACAGAATCGCAAGTTAATATTCGCCAGAAAAGAATAAACCAAGATGACAACACAGTGAGTTGATTTTTTTTTCATTAAAATTGATAAAACGATGTAATTCCAATTTTTCCTAGGGGGTTTAAAATATTTACATCAGAAAGACTTGTGTGAAACAGACCCCTACACCCCATACCGATTTTAAGATTCTTAGTCTTCTATTAAATGCAATATATTTATCATATTAACCATTCCAATAACGTACTTCTTTTTAATTGAATTTTAATGAATAAAAATGAATTGCTGATTGTGTAATTAAGTCTCTTCATAGTCAGACAACAAATCGTTAAATAACTCCATGACTATTACCACCATAGTATTTTTTCTTTATCAGGACATAAACTGGATAGAGGTGAAAAAGTTAATATTGTTAAGATACGGCTATACTTTAATAGGTAAGGTAGTAAAAATCTCTCTCGCATAATTTTCTCCCCTATTATAGCAGTAGGAAAATAATTTGGAGGTATTTATAAATTACCCGTCCCTCCAAAAATATTTTTTATAAAACGTTATATATCATTTTAATAATTTTTAAAGGAGCTAATTTTATTTTTGGTGAAGATTATCCCTTAAATTCCACCCATAAATCCGCCTATATTTACCAATGTTGAAAATATTATAAGAGCACTAATATATACATAAGATGCCAAGTCTAATAATAATATTTAGTTCCGCCTATGATAACAAATAATAAAATATTAAATAATAATATACAAATTATTATATTTTAATTATTATTAAATAATTTCTAAAATTATAAAAGCAATATTATTGAAAATACATTACAAGCTTAGGTATGTTAAATATTTTCAAGGCGCCCCTTCATTGCAAAACTTTTTTCAAAATTTGTTATCAATAATTATTGTACTTTGTAGGGTCATCAAGATGTAGTTGCAGATAATCAACAGTTTTTACCATCGTTTGGTCCTCTCTTTGGTCAAGCTTTTGGACGTGCTAGATCTCCCAGAGTGTACCAAGAAGCAGAATATCTACCTGAAATACCAACATATCATTTAACTGCTGCCGCATCAAATCGTGAGAGTGCCATGCTAGGTTCTGGTAACTTCGGTATTATACCAGGTGGTACTTACTATTCGGACGGCACTAGCGAGTCAGGTGCATTGATTGATCAGTTCCAGTATGATGGTAACAGTCATGGAAGACCACATCGGTAGGTCATTAATAGCGGGTGCACTAAAAAAAAATTTGTAAAAATTTAATAACATAGAACTATGAGACACTAATTACCCACAAATATAATAACACAAAGTCGGTATATTTTTAAAATAAATTTTTACTTGACTTTTAGATTTTCGGGAAATCCTAGACCATCGCCTTACAAAGATCCAGAAGACTTTTTTGCGGATTTCCGGGATTTCGCAGACATAACAGCTCCGGCGAAGTCTTCTTTTTCTGAACATCATATGGTATATGCGTCAGCTGACGACTTCCAATCAGTAGCTGATGAGAAAATTAAATCAAAGAAAAAAAGGAAGTTGAATAAACACCAAGAAAATGAAAAAGACAAACTATCCAAAGCTAAAAGAATAATCCATACTGGCGAAAAAGAACTTTATGAACCTATGATTGCGCTTAGTCGCTAGTAATTTGAACTTATGAGCCATGTATAAAATCAGTTTAAACGTTATTAAATTGATGTAATCTCACATTTTTTTATTAATGAGTAAGAATAAGATTAATAAAATTATATACATAGTTATATTTTTTTATGAATGTCTTTTCATATATCAAACATCTTTATTAAAACTAACCAATATTAAAAGGTCTGTTGGATATAAATATAATTGCATATACCTTTAGAATATTTAATCATCTAACATATTTATTTAAACTAAGTAATTGTCGTGCCAAGTATTATATGATAAATACATTTTATGTACTTATTCTGTGTAGTACATAAAATATTACCTAATAGATTTTTAAGTGACAGTTATTGGTTGGCTGAATTGTACAGTATTTTATTAATTGATGTTATAGATTAGTTCGTAAAGTACTTAATTGTTAGTATGTTATGTAAATATAAATTAGTTAAATTTAAGTGTATTTTTATATTTTATTAACAATATGTATAGATAAACAATTTATAGAATATTGTAAACCATATATGCTTGATTAATTGTAAACATATTTTTACTTCATTGACAAAATTAAAATTGATATTTTATTTTATGAAATTCTATTATTACGCACTATTTAAGTAATTATTTATTTGTTACTTAATATTGAGAACTTAATTATTGAAAAATATATTTAGTACTTAATTGTACGATTACAAAAGAAATAGTTATTACTAGATTTATTTTTTTGTCTGAATTGTGTAAGCTATTTTTTCACTATATTTTAAGAAAAAAATATATTTGTATGTGTATTATTTTTAAAATTTAATAAAAACTACTTATATTATATTTCTTGCTATTCATACATACTTCGCCAAAAAATTATTGAAATTAAAAAAATCTGTTGATTTATAAGCGTTGCTTCCCGATAAAACATATTTAAATTAATTATTTCGAAAAAATTATTTGTCTATTAAATTGGATGGCGACAAGAGTCAGCAGTATTCTAACCAGTTTTTTAGCTTCGATGCGAAGCTGAGAAGGTATTAATTTTACTATGATGTGTTTTTTTTTTTTTTTTTTTTTTTTTTTTTTTTTT